ATTTGATTGGCATTCTTGGATCATGCTTTAGAAATTTCCAAAATCAATTGATTGATGATCTATTTCTATAAAAGGTGTGATCATCATTATCCATTTATAGTATATTCCCAGACTGTATTATATTGATTCACATAGTTTCAATTTCAGACCAGATTTAACTTATAATTATAGATAAAATCATTTAGTTTTTGTTAATAGAAATATATATTATGAAGAATCGTGAAGTATCTTCATGATTATTATATAGTTATATACTATTGTGAATTTCAAGATTTTTATGTTTATTTGACACCTCTAATCAAAGAATATAATAATACAAAGATACTAACTACCACATGGTATGAATCTACTATAGTTTTTGCTTCTCCAGGTTCCAAGAACAACCAACTATAAACTTTAACATCATACTATTCATGCCAATATCTAACAATGCCTATCAATTCAGAGTTATGATAATGAAGTCCATTGTCAGATATTATTTTAATCCATTTGGGCTTTTTATCCATTGTTTCAAATACAACTTCAAAGGTTGATGCCGTAAACCAAGCATCCTGCTTGGTATCTGTTGACCAATAGTCATATACTTTAACATCTAATTTATTTTGGTTTTTTTTGATAAAAACCAAAATTGTATGTAATGTCCAACCACGTTTTTCAAAAAAGTCTTTTTTTGTTTCGCGTATAGACTAAGAAAGTATACGCATTTTATAGTCTGCAATAAAAATTGTATTATCGAAGTCGAGCTCGGACAATATTGCTTTATACTGGGCATTTAAATACATCTTTCGTGTTTGGTGTGAAAGGTAATACAATAATTGTTCTTTGGATTCTGTGATTTTAAAATAAATATCTGAAGATATTGATTCATAAATAGAATCTATAATATAATTTTAAATAATTGATCACAGTAGGAGCATCGTGATTCATGATAGTTTACACATTCACCAAATGCATAAGGCAGACAGTAAGAGATACAGGAATTATGTTCTATATGACTATCTGCTTCGACTTTCAACTCGTTTTCATAATCCTGTTTCATATGTCTTTTGAGTCCTTCAAGATGTTCTAAAATTTTGGGCTAATAAATTATGTAATTAGCAACAGGTAAAGTAATTATAAATTTATATTAAACAAATTAAATATAAATTAACCAAAGAATTTTTATCAATAATATAATTTTTTAATACTTATCAGGTTTTCGAATATTTCATATCCATAATTGTTACAAATCATACACAATCTACCAAGATCTTTGCAGTATTTAAGATTTGTTTTTTCACTTAAACATGCTATAAAGGTAGTTCTTTTTATACCGTTTGAGTTTGTTTCATTAAATTTTTCCCATAGACCTTTTTTTTGATCATGCAAATATAGGATCAATAATCTTGTTTTTGAGTCTATATGATATGAACTCATTGATACATTTTCTTTATCTTGAAAAAATAATAGGAATTGCTTTTCTTGAACATCTGTTAATCTTTGAGCAGTTCTTTTTGGTTTTTGTAAGATTAATGTGCCTAGTCTATAAAGCCATGCATGCTTACTGGCCTTATTTATTATATTTGATCCAACCTATTAAACATCAAATATTAAGTTTATATTGAAAATTTTATTATATTACTGTAGATAATTACTATACTTACACCTAACTCTTCTTTAAGAATACGGTATTTAAAATTTAGGGCAATAACTAAAAGAATACGAATTATACCATCTGATTCTTTTTTATTCAATAGTAATGCATTCTGAAAGCTGTTCCACCAAACTTTATTCAGTAAATTTTCGACTGATAGTAAACTTTGTACTAGTAAAATATTATCATTTAATTAAATATTATTATTTTTATAGAGATTTTTTAATAATTCTTTGTTGGCAGTAGAGTCTGATGTATTACTCCAAAATTCTATTGATGATGGTTCTTTTAAAACAGATATTATATCGGTATATCTGCAAGCAGTAAATATAGCCCACCATGCTCGTAATTCTTTATCATGAAAAATATAATTAGATTTGTAAATATTTTGTAGTATAAGTAGAAATTGAACAACAGAGCTTTTTTGTTGGAACCAATTTAAAAAAGAATTGGCCAGGAGTTTTCATTGTATTAGAAATTTTTCGTGATTTTACATGACGATTAAATACCTTCTCTAGTTGCATTGTGTTCGACCATTCTTTAACAGCACATGTTGGTGATTTACTTTTTAATATATTTATATGTTGTTGAACTAATGTATTTGTAATTCCAAAAAGATATGATCCAGTATATTTTTTAAGAACTTCTACTTGGTCCCAAACTTTATTCGGATCTGCCTCTGTAATTTTACCAACACATACTGATTCTGAGTAGATTTTAAAATATACTCATATTTTTCGATTTTTAGCACAAATAGATGCAGTGCTTTACGATAATGTGTCATAAATGAAAAAACAAATCCAACACCAATATCATAAAATTTATTTTCATCTGGATCTCCAATACTTGATACCACTATGATAAACTTATCGACGCAAAGAAATATTGGAAAAAATACTATGTCAG